GTCACACCATGGACGACCTGTTTGTTGTCTAGGGCTCGATCCAATTTTTCTTGTTCCTCTAAGCATTTGGGCTCCCAAATCAGGCCCAATATATTTAGATCCATCATGACTAAATTTTTTAAATTTGGCAGTAGCCCCTTTAGGCTCAAATTCATATGACCCACTAATTCCATTTTTAGGTCCAACCCCAGTAGGCCCAACTGAATTGGATAAGAGGGCCGAACCATCCAAGACTTCTTCAGGCCCATTCATCTCCTTCTTCAGCATGACGAGCCGGCGACTTTCTTCTCTCCTCACTTCAGCGAAAACATCACGGGTGGACGGCAGGGGCTGGCGACTGAGAATCCGGCCTCGCACGTCGTCGAGAGCTCTGTTCAACCCAGCCAGAAATTCATACACCCGTTCATTCTCCACCCGTTTCTTGTATCGGACACTATCGCTAGGGCAATCCCATTGTTCAGCGATGCTAAGATCCAATTCCTGCCATAAAATAGTCATCTCCATATAATAATCGGTGACATCCCTTTCTCCTTGCCTTGCCGTCCATAATTTTGTCTTAATTTCAAAAATTTGAGAGGCATCTTCCGTGTCGGAGTACATGTCTCGAACGGCGTCCCAGATGTCCTTCGCAGTTGCCATGATGAGATAATTTTTTCCAATTGACGGCTTCATTGAATTGACGAGCCACGACATTACCATGGAATTTTCAGATTTCCATTTTTGCTGAAGTATCGAATCCGTGGGCTGCTTGGTATCTCCGATAAGATATCCAATCTTTCCTTTTCCGTCGACTACTAACTTGATTGATTGAGCCCATTCCCTGTAATTTCTACCATTGAGCTTCTCCACCGTGAGTTGAAAGGAGGAATTATCGATTCCAATTGAACTCATGGTGGGGACAGTTTCGGTCTCGTTGGTTCCAATTTCAGAGGAGGCTGTGTGTTCTGCCATAGCCGGGTTTGACCTTACCCGTGCTCTGATACCATGAAGAAATAATGGAAGGAATAATTTATTCACATAATTTAACCTTACAAATCTATGTCACTATATATAGTACAATACAATGAAGAGAAAAAGGAAAATAATATGCTAATCTAGGAAAGTAAAGATATTCCCCTAATTTTCCAATTATACTAATATTGCAAATCATCCCATAATTGATTCGGGATTTCTACATTTACTAATAAATTTGAGTTAAAAATATATAATATTTCTAATAAAAAAAGAAAAATAATTATGGTAGAGTGTTCGAGGAGTATCGGTATTGACACTTGTGGGACACTAAAGCGCTATCGTAGTTGAAGTGTCCGTGCAACAAAGATTCCAGTTATTGGTGCATATTGTCAAGTCTTATCTTATCCATTTTATTATGAATACCATGATGCACATACATCAAAGTTAATATTTTGTTATCGTTAATTAATGTGTTTTTTATTATTTTGTGTAGCAGGAGTTTTAATTGGATTAGGAGTTTTATGATAAATTTTCAGAGTTTCTTTTATTTTAAAAGTCTAATCATGATTATGTGTTTAAATAGAGAGTTAAGATTTTATTGTAAATAAAATTGATTTGAATATCAATAATATTGAAGAGTTTCTCCAAATTCTCAATCTAATGGGTATTTGTGCGCTAATAAATAGATTCGCTAGTAGATTTGTGTCATTTCTCCAAATTCCCAATCTAATGGGTATTTGTGTGCGAATCAACCGTTAGTAATCCCATGTTATTCTTCTATCTCGCTTACATCTGCATCAGGTGGCATTGTGTTCCTGTAGAGACAAGGTCTCAGTGAAGCCTTCTTCAATGGGATTCATTATTGAGTAGAAATGACACAAATCTACCAGCGAATCTATTTATTGGAGCATAAAATGAATACGTCGAAGGCCCAACAATAGATGTTGTAGGGTGCCATTGGAAGCGGTAGGTGTGAGGGAGGCAACAATAGAGATCAACACAATAGAGTTGTGGCAGGGGTGGTGCGAGAACCAGTTTGGAATCGATATATGGAGGACTCCTACGATAATATTATTGTTCTGTCCCTCTCAATCTCCAGCTAGATGTTAATTTAGGTAAAGATTACAATGGTACACCAGTTTTTGATAAGGAGCCCGATGTAGCATGGCCCCAGAACTTTGAGGCACCACTCATGGTGGTGAAAATCAAGTTCCTTTTTTTGTCAATAAAGAAAGTAAACCACAGGAAGAAAGTGATTCCATAGTGATACGTGTTCATGAAGCATTAGGGATAGTTATTTGGAAGAAACTTCAGCTGAGATTGGAAATAAATAAATTGCATATCATGGAAGGAATTTGGAGGAAGAAAGCTTAACAAATTCTACCTAAATTGTTACCGAATGTGGCAGACTCTCAAGTTTGGAAACAACCTTGGATTTAGAGTTTTTCATTGCTTTGGAACCAAATTTGAAAAAGAGTAGAAAAACTAGATTGTTACAATTACAAAGTATTAGATACAAATGACGAATCTTTTCCAACCAGATGAGAATGATACAGGATACATAGAAGTTAATATTTTATTAGTGTTAATTAATTTGTCTTTTATTATTTTATGTCTAGTAGAAGTTTCATCAAAACACATAAATTTTCGGAATTTGTTTTATTTTAAAAGTCTAACTAGAATTTTGTGTTTAAATAGAGAGTTAGAATTTTATTGTAAGTTGGTTGATTTTGAATAATAAAAAAACATTTATGAGTTTCTTCAAATTCTGGATCCAACAAGTAATAATCCCATGTTATCGTTCTATCTCACATTTGTCCTTGTCACCACACATCTATCTTAAGACTTCCTTTCCGCTATGTTTGTCTTATGGACATTTTGTCATTTAATAGCCCTATACGCAATAGCAAAAAGCATAGTGCATATGACAATTATTTGGTGGAAAATTGCCTTCTAACTTCATGGGATATTGCTATAACGGAGGGTCTATGCAGCACTTCTCCGTTTTATTTAACCGGTCTAGTTCTATTCATTATATTTTTTTCAAGACCTCCTTTGTTAGTCATAGAATCTAGTTACTTAAAACAATTGTTCGGGACAACATGATGCTCTATGGTAACTCCAGTGTCATCTTTATTCTACTATTAGTAATATATGGCAATATTTATTTTCTTTTATATTCAATTATCTTCCTACATGCTATACTAATATTCTACAAATAGATTACAGAAGATGGTTCGACTCTGCAAAAAATTTCAAATATCTGTATTCTAAGTAAATATAACACAGGCAGCATAGAGACATCATAAATGACTAAATTTGTGTCCATTGAATCTATGCTGTGATGCAAAAACTGGCAAGTTAACTGCCTCATTATTTCTATAGACAGGATAAGCAATAAAAACAGAATGGTGTTTCAATGGAAACAAACATATAAATTGCAGGCAACTAAAATTAAGTGCTTTTTACTCAATATGTGCAAATAGAACAAGAAAAAGTTGATTCCACTAGAAATGAGCACTGCAAGCTTAAATGAAAGGGTATCAGTGCATTGATCAATACCTTTTGGAGCCTCTGAGGATCAATAGAGAGTAAAAACAGAAAATCCCGTACAGTAGAAATCCTCGCCTCATCCAGACGCTTACATGGAGCACCATCTTTACCAATGTTGTCTAATCTCCATACACGATCAGAAAGAGATGGTGGGTAGTGCTTCTCATACACTGCAAACAGAAACCAGCAGTTACACTGAAATTTCTTCATCTCCATTTTGAAATGTCAATCCAATGCCCTAGAATTTCGATGCTTTACCTCATGAATTGTCTTGTTTATATTTTGATAGGGCTAGCTATCCAAACAAAGAGGTGACTAGTAGGGCAACGGCGTAGTTAGATTGCTAGGAGAAAAGGCTAAATGGTCATATATTCATGAGGTAGCATAAGGTGAATTGGACATTATGGGATAGCATTCAAAAACTAAAACAACTTAAATCTTATCTAACGTATAGTCGAGTCCTATATTATACTGCGTACCGGATATGTTGTATATGTCACAGTGTATGATAAATTCTTAAGGACACTAAAAGACTAAAATCAAATTGAGAGCTACTTACATTTGCAGCGGCTATCTAGGACCATAAATGACTCTGTCCATGCTTCTTTCACCATACTTCCATCGAATTTATCCACCATTCTTGCCCCTAGCCTGCATTTGCAGCTCTTCGTCCAGCAAGAATCATTTCCTAACTTGACATTAGACAATACGCCAATGCCTTTATCGAGATATACATAGACAGGTTTAGGAAAATGAGGCTTCTTCTTTTCATTTTCTCTAATAATGCTATTATTGAAGTCTTTAAGACTCTCGTTATGTGCATTATCATTAGGACCTGCCTCGAGAATTAATATCTCCACCTTCGCTGAGGCTTCAGGCCCTGAGACAACAGGATTCCCGGTTACATTATCAACTAAAGAAACTCTAATGAGGTTGCCTTCTTTTCCTTTAAATTCCTTCCCTGTCAAAACAGAATCAGAGACTTTGTCTAAGAATTTCAGCCCTAAACTTCTTGGCCTTGAAAGAGTTGCCTCATCCACTGAGTTCCTGAATTTGAACCACAAGGATGTCATTTAAAAGAGGTCTAAAAGATTAAGCTATTAAAGAACGTATACATTTATTTATTTATTTAAATTCAGTCTTCAAAACACCCCCCACATGTATGCTTAATTCATTATTATTGACAAAGACATGACATGTTCTTAAACGAGTAGTGGCAAGATTTGAACTTTCTAATTCATTCTATGATATCATGTTTAACCGCCTCATCCAAGAGCTTAAGCTGTTAGAGGATGTAATTCTATTTCTTTAATTACAATCTTAACCAATAAGAACTGTGGTGCACATGCATGTATATATGTATATGCAGATAAATGTTCCTATATTGATTTTCTTATACAAGTATTAGCTTTTGCCTCCATTTTTCTCCAGCTAAAATGACCAATCCATAAGTCCTCACCTATTCTGGCGAGTCGAAAACTTTTCTTGTGCTGATTGAATTTCCTCTTTGACCTGGAAAGAAAATGTAAACATTTGCCATGAAAACTAGCCAAACCGAGATTGAACGAAGAATTGTATATTAGAAGAATGGACCACGGTGTAGCAATCCAATATACGATAAGAGAGATGCCTAATTCAATACGTAGCAAAATGATGATCTGTGCACAAATCAATTTCATGAATCTGTATGGTTATTAGTTTTAAAGTCCATTGAGTCCTCACCAAGAAACCATATGATATTAAGTGGAGTAGCCTGCTTATCTTGTAAATCACTTAAGATTAGCATGAAGAAGCAAATTCGAATAGTCTCAATTCACAAGAATCATATATAAATATCGATTCTTATGAATACACACTTTATAATGTAACTAAATGCAGGGAAAAACATACATCTTTTGAAAAAAAGGCGAATTTTTTAAAAGGTGTTTTTATTCAGCAATGAAAGTGAAAAAGAGCAACTAAAAAACTTCTTTAGATCAAAATTCACACAATTGTGGATACCGCAGCTTATAAGCTGGATTTGGACTTTTGTTCCGCACAATTTGTGTCCAAGCAACAATTTTTTTTTTTGCTAAATTTGGCGCTCACCACTTTCCGAATCAAATCTTCCACAATCGGCCCTATAAC